CCTCCCACCGCGCTTTCCCAACACGGCGGCCACCCCCGTGGCGTTCAGGCTGAACGCAGCGGGCTTCTCACTCTTGCTTGGGTTTGTTTTTCAAATAAGATACGCTTTAAAAATATCTTTCTCAGACCACAATGCACTCATATTATACTTAGTTTAAAACGGTGCAGAGGGATCATGTTTCCACCCCCGCCCCCCCAAGCCGGAGGCGGTTTCCGAGGCGGGGGCCCGCGGTCCGAGGCGGGCGCTTTGCGCGCCCCCAGCCCCGCAGCGCTCCGGGCGGGAGCCGCTCCTCTCACCTTGACTTGGCTCTCCGTCATCCCCAGGGAATAGGCCAGCCGGGCTCGCTCCGGGCCCGCCAGGTATTTCGTCTGCTCGAAAGTCTTTTCCAGGGCGAAAATCTGCTGGCCAGAAAAAGTGGGTCTGGTATGTTTTCTCTTTCCGTCCTTATCCAGCAAAATTGAGCCTTGATCTGGCGGGGGGGGAGAGAAAGGGAAGGCACGGACAGACACGTTAATCTACGGATTTGGGAAAGCGCTTTGCTCCTCAAGCGGCCCTGAGGGACGGGGCGGGGGGAATCTCTCCGCGGGGAGAGAGGGGGGTCTGTAACAAAACCGCTGCCTGGACAAGGCGGCGGCGCCAGCCTCCCGGCTCCCCCCGATTATTTCTGCTTTAAGGGTAGAAAAATCTGAGCGGGCAAACGATATCGTTTCCTAGAAAACCTGCAGCCAGCGCAAGCGGGCGGAAACGGACGGGCCTGCCCGGGGAAAGTTTGTGCGCGCCCCTGAAACCGGCCCCGGCCCCGGGAGTGCCCAGCGGGGACGGTGAAGGCGGACGGCAGCGCGGTCGCCTGCCCCCGAGAGGGCTCCTCTCTTCGGCGGCAGCAACCGACATTTTACAGGGTTTCGCGCCGACCGAGGGGGAGGGAGAAAGCAAAGCAAACTTAAGAAAAAATCCAAAACGAACAAAAAACCCCAAACAGCACACAAACCCAACCGAACAAAAAAACCCAACCCAACGTATAACAACAACAAAAAAAAACAAAATAAAAGAAAGCGAAGCAAAGCCAGTACTCCAGGCCACGGCCGGGGCCTGAGATGGGGAGCCCGGGAGGGTCTTGCCGCGATGGCGGGGCGTGGGGGCTCCCCAGCCACGGGAGCCAACTCCCGGCGGGGGTCCCCCG